TATTAACAACTGTTGTTGTGACAATTGATTACTTTGGTTACTAAGCTCTTTCGTCAAAAAAATGTATATAAATGCGATTGTAAAGCTCAAGTAATTGAATTCACCGATGGAAAAGATGTGCGTCGGTGGCACAGTGGTTAGGACTCTCACCGACCATACACATGGTCCGGGGTTCGAGCTCACGCCGACGCACACCTGATATCTATAGTTGGCCTGCGAAATTCGGGCTACCGATATCCATGCTTAAAAATCCATACTTGTATCAAAAATACGGTGTAGAATCAAGCTGTAATAAAAAAATAATAAATAGATCAAGTGGATGATTTCGATGTGGTTGTGTTCTGTGGGGTGGGTAGTGTATTTCCGAAGCTTTCATTGCCCTACTAGGCAACATCTTCAGCGCATCAATTTGAGGTGAGCTTTTAGATTTCTCCACGAGCAGTTTATTAGTCATCTCTCCCGGTGACCTCGGACATGACTGGTGCCAATACAAGTAGCCTGGAAGATGTGAAAACACACAAAAACAACCAATCACGTTCACGGTCACCAGGAGAGATGACTAATAAAATGCTCGTGGAGAAATCTAAAAGCTCACTTCAAATTGAAACATGTGCTGCAGAGCTTCGCAAATAAACCATCCAGCTCAGAGAACACAACTGCATCAAAATTATCCAGTTGAGTTACAAATCTTCTCCATCAATGCTACTACCAATCAACTTCAGCGATGAAAATAATAGGAATATATAAACAAAATTAGAAAGTTTTGTGAGCATCAAAATAAATGTTTTGATTTCGTTATAAAAAGAAACTGCCCAGGTTGGAAATCTGAAAATGACAGAGTGTGTGCATCCACATGTCACAAAGTTTGGAACTCAAAGTAACTAACTGACCAAGTGTCTACAGTAGGAATTCCAGCTGTATGCATGTAGAAGATCGGTAGATGTATATTATTATTTTCTCTAATTCCAAGAGGAACATAGGGCTTCAGCTGCACGTCTCCACTGCGTTCTGTTATCTGCCAACGGTCTCACCTCGCTGCACATCTGCCCACATGCTTTCATCTCCTCTTCACATGATCTCCTCCATGTCACTCTCTCACTGACGACAAACTCGCCGCTTTCCATTCTGGTTCCACTCGAGCAGTGGCCTGTCAAGTGATGTCACTTGATAGTTTCTTTTCTCAGAGTATGGACAATCCACCTTCATTTCTTCCTACACATTTGTTACACAATTGGTTCTTGGTTTGTCTGCCCCCAAAGATCTCAGCCTGTTGGTGATCATTTCTTGCCGGCCATCTGATCTTGAGTATTGAGCGAAGACAGCTGTTGATGAAAGTATGTAGTTTGTTTGAAGTGCCCTATGTGATGCCGCGCCAAGTCTTTGATCCGTATAATAGCATTGACTTCACATTGGAGTTGAAAATCCGGATCTTATTTTTGATGCCGAGTGCTGTTGACCTCCACACAGACTTGAGAGTAATGAAAGCTTGCTTTGATTTCCTGATCCTTACTTTGATATTCTTGTCAGTTCCGTCCGAATGTGGTTGAAACGATGCTTCCCAGGTTGGTGGGTAGGTAAGGGAGGTTGCTTCTTTTAGATTTCTCCCCCCCCATTTATAATGGTTGATTGTTGTCTGCTTTTGTTGTTGTCGCTGTTGGCTAGGAATCTTTATCACGGCATCTGTTTTCTCTATGTTCACCTGAAGTCCCATCTTCTTCTGCCAACTTGTTGCTTTTCACTTGCATATCTTCCAGTTTGTGAGAAATCGGACATATATCATCGGTGAAGTTCAGTTTCCTCGTTTCACACTGTCTGTCGCATTATCCAGTGTACTGCAATCAGGAAAATCATTGGGGATAGTAGTGGGCAGCCGGCTTTTCTTACTCCCGTCTTCACTTCTATGATTCCGTAAGTTTCCCTTTATCGATTACTTTAAGATAAGATAAGATAATAGCTTTATTCCAAATCAGTACTTGTGATACAGAATGGAATTCTCAGCATTTTACTACAATACTGCATCCAGTTAGTACGTTAACAATAAATAGAGTTCTACATAGATTAAAGTTATCTCAGTTTTGACCACAACATATTAGCATGTCAGTAGCAAAGCCAAATTTAAACAGTGTTTGAAGGTGTTAGAAAAGTAGATACTACTAGCATATTTACTGGTCGAGATATACAGAGTGTGAAAGAACGAACAAGAATGTTTTAAGTAGAGTTTGCAAGGAAGAGAGAAACAAAACAGCACATAACAAAAATAAAATACAGAATGAAGAGCGAGAAAACGTTGTACCTATAAATGATGTGAGTTGGAAAGACGAGATCCATTGGTTCTACTGACTATTTAATAAGTTAAAGGTTTCATGCCTGATGCATTCTTTATCGCACAGAACACGGGCTAGGTAGGGTATGGATGAGTTTTTGTACTTACTAGTGCGGGCATATAGTTTCCTATATAGGCTTCTTGTTTTCCCTGAAGAGATACATGGGGAGAGTTGTGAATGTAGAGGGTGTTGTGAGTCAGATAAAATGGATTTCGCCCATTTTTCACATGAGTCCATATGCCTGTCCACCAGAATATTAACAAGCTGGCTAAGTGGCAAACTGCTTACCCTGCTGACAACCTTTAACATCCTACGTAATAAGGTATAGTCTTTCTTCAATAGCCCAGGAAAGACTAAGGGGGAACAATAGAGAATAATAGGCAGAATACGGGAGTTAACAAATTGTAGGAGTAAGGGTTGGGTTACACCAGAATGTCTTAACTTCTTGATGTAGAAGGTAAGACGGAATATTTTCTTAGAAATCGTCAAGATATGAGACGACCAGGAAAGATCAGAAGATAGAGTGACGCCTAGGTATTTAATTTCCGACTTGGTTTCTATTTCTCTGCCATCTATGTTGCACACCTCGTGAGTGCTAACCAGTTTGTTTAGGTCAGATTTATGCCTAAGGGTGAAATTAACTGTTTGGCATTTGGAGGGGTTTAAGGTTAGACCGTTTTCCTTGGACCATTGGCTAATTTCCGATAAGAAGCCATTTAGTTTAGAGCAGTCACTTTGACATTTGACAGGTAAAGATACAGTTAGGTCATCAGCATATTTGACAAAGTTAATGTCATTTGAAGATGGTAGGTCATGTAGAAGGAAAGAAAGAAAGAAAGAAAAGAGAAGTGGGGAAAGTACAGCACCTTGGGGGACACCAGCTTCAGTGAGCACAGCAGAGGAGGATTTGCCTTTGTATACGGTGTACTGCATTCTGTTTGAAAAATAGGAATGTAACCAGTTAGTGACCCAGGACTCGGTTTGTTTCATGGAGAGCTTATTTAGCAAGAGACATCTAGGTACAGAGTCGAAAGCAGAAGTGAAGTCAAGAAACGTGCAGCGGACGTATTTGGCACCTTTATCTAATGATGAGACGATACTGTTGTGTAAGACGGCTGCAGCGTCTAAAGTACTCCTACCCTGTCTGTAGGCAAATTGTTTGGGGTCTTCGAAGCTTTTAAGGGAGGGTTCGAGTTTAAGAAGTACTAGTTTTTCCATAAGCTTTAGAAACGGGGAAGTAATGGCAGTGGGTCTGAACTTTACGTTCTTGCTATTGCCAGCTTTAGGGACAGGGACTATTTTAATGTCTTTCCATGGAACATGTATAACGTTTTCGGAGAAAGAAGCATTTAGGATGTTAATTAGAGGAGAACATAAAGCAGTGTTTTAGAACATATGCAGGTATACCATCAGGTATATATATATGCTGTATTTGTATGATTTAATACGATAATTACTTTTATATTTCATCTAGTAGACTGGTAAACACTGTGAGTATGAAGTCAACGTACGACTGTTGGAATAATTTTTCACTTTTTTGAAACCTAAAAGGTAAATTTCATCATTTTCAGTGACCTGTTAGATAATAAAATACTAATAATGAAGATAATAATAATTATTATTTTACGAGTTGATCACGGATTGATATCAGTTAGAGAACCATTGAAAACCAGGGAGTACTGGACAGCTGCTGTTTCATCCTAGTTTGGGAATCATCGGCAGTACGCACCCACTGGGATTCGAACCCAGGACCTTCCGGTTACAAGGCAATCTCGTATACCATTCAGCCACTGGGACCCGATTCAATGGCTCGTGAATTCTAACTTCTACCAATTCGTGATTTAGCGCGACCCCAACCATTGTCGTTGGTGGGACATCCATCCACACACGTGACATCTAATTGGACCTCACTGGTCACGACTTCTCACTAGAACTCAGGAAACTCCAACCTGTAGCAAGTCACTAGCGAGCATCAGATTAACTTTCTATAGTTTTGGTTTGTAAGGATTAGTTATGTTTTACGAGTTGATCGTAAAACATAACTAATCCTTACAAACCAAAACTATAGAAAATAATTATTATCATTATTGACCTCTGTGTAAAAATAATATTATTAATAAACACTGTCTGCTATACAGTATTCAGTAGATGTCTTATGAAGGTGAACAAGTTAAGAGTAAAACGCCCACGTTTTACAATCTATTTGCAGCATACACATCCACACGCATACGCACACATACCTACATACACAAGCGCACACGCACATACATACAAACATTGTAACTTACTCGTTTGATTAGCCAAAAGGTATTTAGAGAAATATACACACGTTTCAATGAAGTCCACGTATCATCACGTATCAAATGTATAGATTTTTCCACCTATACTGAGTACGCATATACACAATTCTATCATACAACAATTCCGTTTGTGAAATATTTATTTATAAAAACATACTAATAGTCTACACATATTCTTTGCATTATTTCAATGAGAAAATAATTATTAAATTGAACACGACACAGATAGTAAAGACTTTTTCAGTATAATACACAACAATAAGGACTTATAAATAGAGAGAAAACTCGTTGAAAGTAATCAATTCAATCAAGTAATCAGTTCTGCAGATAAGAAACACAAATACACAAACAGACACACACTACAACTTCAATAATTATGCCATCGAAGAAAGAGATTGATGAATTATTGAAGATTTTTCATGATCTTGACAGAAACAATGATGGTAATATATCAAGAACAGAATTACTATCCAAGATAGGTACAAAATCTGCGGAAAGACAAAAAGTTAATGTAAGTTAAAGTATTTTATATACTCTTCATTATTGATATTATTATTATTTAATAATACAATGCGTTTATTCAGCGAAGAGTGATCATATATATATATATATAGTTACGAGTTGATCACGGATTGATATCAGTTAGAGAACCATTGAAAACCAGGGAGTACTGGACAGCTGCTGTTTCATCCTAGTTTTGGGAATCATCAGCAGTACGCACCCACTGGGTTTCGAACCCAGGACCTTCCGGTTACAAGGCAATCTCGTATACCATTCAGCCACTGGGAATCGATTCACTGGCCAGTCCATGAATTCCAACTTCTACCAATTTGTGATTTGGCGCGACCCCAACCACTGTCGTTGGTGGGACATCCATCTTCACACGTGACATATGAATGGACCTCACTGGTTACAACGTTTCACTAGAACTCCAGGAAAATCCATCCTGATATCAATCCGTGATCAACTCGTAGAAACAAATCTAATCCTTACAAACCAACTATTGAAAAATATAAAATCATTATAAAATACTCGCTGATGACATTGGATAATGCCAGCGGCGTTATATCGTGAATTGGCACAAGATGAGATTCATGGAATACCCACTGAGTCGGGTCCTATTGGCTCAATAGTCTACGAACTTGGCTTATAACCGAAATGTCCTAAGTTCGGACCCACTGTGGTGGGTGCGTACTACCGAAGCGTCCCAAACTAGGGGGACAAAACAGGTGTTCATTAACCCGCAATGGTTATCCAGTGGTTTTCTAACCAATATCAGCTCATAATGAAATCCTGTAACCTACCAAATCCCCGCAAACCAACACTTGCATATTGCTGAAATTATCTGTGAGATGATCTTAGCTCGCAAAGAGTGGTACCAGTGTAGTGCAGAGAAAAACGTGGTTGTAAAGAGACTTTATGTATTTTAGTCTAGTCAGGGGACAAAGGTGTTGACATTTCGAAAACAGCCCCGTGGAATACTATCGTTTAACATAATAATAATGATAATAATAATAACAGCACTGTTATGAAGATTACGTTGACACACACAGTACAGAATTCTTAGCTTAATTTCTCGCCAAATGTTTACTCACTTTGCTTTAGTTCAAACTGCGCTTTCCAAAGACTTCATTAGATTCATTATAGAAAAGGTCTTTTGTATTTCCCAATGGATGAAAAACAAAACGATCTGCTGTCTTTACTGTTGTTTCGCTGTTTAACGCTAATAGTTTTATCAGAGTGCTATTAAACTAGAATTTACAAAATCCACTCAGCTTATATATAACAACTTAATCATCGTTCCTCAGTGTGGGGTCATTTTTTCGTTGTCAAATTAACCAACTGGTAAAGATAACAAAACCAGGTGTAGATTGTTGGATTTGATGAGTGTGTAAAATTATAAAAGCAGCGTGTGTTTGCATAATGAAATCGCTTATCACATCCGTGTTGATTTTGTCATTTCATGGGGGACGGGAAGTGTTTTAATCCATCATTCCTATTGAGATAATTTAGATTCCATTTGAAATGAAGTGCTTCTGATGATTTGAGACATTCTTTGTGATTTCTGAAATGATTTTCCTGGATTATTTTAATATTTTCAAAATCAGTTTTGTGACCTCATTCTATACCTGATGATTTTAAAGCTTTTCTATTTTTATTTATTTTATTTTTTATTTTTGATTACAGCTTGATTCCACACTGTATTTTTGGTACAAGTATGGAATTTTCAGCGTGGATATCGGTAGCCCAAATTTTGCAGGCCGACCATAGATATCAGGTGTGCATCGGCGTGGCCTCGAACCCCGGACCATGTGCATGGTCGACGAGAGTCCTAACCACTGGGCCACCGACGCAGAAAAAAAACAAATATGCTAACCGCTGTGCCACCGACGCACGATGTTTAAGTTAATTATTCTAAATTCTATATTTTCATGTGGAGGTAACGCAGTTTAATTCAGCTGAATTCAGATTTATAGTGAATTGGCAGAAGTGAGAATTTACAGGATGGCCATTGGATCAAGTCCCAGTGGCTTAGTGGTCTACTAGCTAGCTCGCGTTGTAACCAGAAGGTCCTGGGTTCGAACCCCATTGGGTGCGTACTGATGAGTCCCAAAGTGGGAAAAATTAGCTATCTAGCTAGGGTTTCAAATGTTCCTTATATGGTGAAACTGTAGATGTCTTGTATTCTCTCTTATTTATGTTATTATTATTAGTTTTACCATTATTTTTATTTCGCTTTTCACCCTTTTCTGATATAGCTGATGAATTTTGTAGGATACTTATTTGATACCAACGCTTTTTCTATCTGTTTTATTTCATCATTTAGGTCTCTTTTGTACTACTTAGTGCTCTTGTTCGGCTTGTTAGACGTTTAACTAAGCCTAACCTGTTGACCTAGTTGACCTAATTAGACAAAATGACTGTGAATTAAGTCAACTACATAGGTCACACTAGTAGCTTGGGAATAGCAAGAACATAAGAATTTAATGAAGGTTAGAACGGTTGACCCTGAAAAGATAAGTAATCTAGAAAAAAGCTCAGCAATGGCAATGCATGCATTAACACAACCACACAATAGCATGGTGGGAGAGGATTAAAATTCTAGAAACTAATCTACGTAGGTGGAGAGAGAGGTTGATTACTGAATCCGTGTTCATCGAGTCTACACCGAACACATGCAATAGGAATGATTCATCACTCATAGACGAAATATGGAGAATACTACTACCAATCGAATCAAGTGGAAAACAAGTAAAAAACAATGGAACTATATAAATGAAGTTAGGATGCCGTGTGATTACCTTGATATGATTATGAGCAGTAATAAAGTGTGCTTGAAAAGTCATCAGTAAATATTACTGTACAACACTGTAAGATTTTATCAAAATAAAGATGAAATTAACTGTCTGAAATTTGGAGGGATTTAATTAATTAATTAATTTTTTTATTTATTTTTGATTTACAGCTTGATTCCACACTGTATTTTTGGTACAAGTATGGAATTTACAGCATGGATATCGGTAGCCCAAATTTTGCAGGCCGACCATAGATATCAGGTGTGCGTCGGCGTGAGCTCGAACCCCGGACCATGTGTATGGTCGGCGAGAGTCCTAACCACTGAGCCACCGACGCACATAAGTAAGTCCATAAGGCTTAGACCACTGGGTAATGTGCAAGAGAAATTTATTCCGTCTGGAAGAGGAAGCTCAGGAGGTGGGGCCTATTCTCATTAAAGTATATTTAGATTAGAATTCTTTTTACTAGACTTCAGTTGAACAACCACCGAAAAGCAGGGAATATCGGAGAGTTGCTTTGCCCATATTTGAGACTCCCCACGAGCGATTGGACCCCGGACCTTTAGCTTCAAAGGCGAACTCCCACACCATTCAGTCACTGGATCCAATTACCAATCAATTCTAACTTCTGACAGCTGATGTTCTCACACCTGAATCGGTGAACCCTGCTGATCAAGCCTGTATTGGGTCAACAGTGGACACTAGATTAATTTTCAAGTGCTGTTTTGCAGGGGTTTGATTCATTTTAGCTTTGGAACCAGGTTTCAGGCTTATTTGTTTCATTATTTACGCTACACACTCAAAAATGAATTCTACATTCAAACGATGTTCCATATGCAATTTTCGGATACCCCAAAATAATAGGATATTAGGTGCACACTACTTTTAATGTTGCTGTTTGCTTTTAAAAACATAAAGCTATTTCTATCGTAGACATAATACGAAAAAACTGTAGCGCATTATCAGGGTCTAATTCAGTGTAAAGCTAGTAAGTCATCAGTCTCTATCTTCAGTAAATAGACTGTTTCAAACGGATTCAATATCAAATTGTACAATCGTATATATATATATATATATATATATATATATATAAATATATATATATATATATATATATATATATATATATAGTGTATTATGTGGTTGGAGGGAATATGTAAGAAGTCTTCGATCTAGGTTTCGTTCTGTTTGTTACTCATCAGCAAGGTGTATCTAAAACCCTGAACATAGTCATATCCCTTCTGAGATTCAAACCTGTGTCACCCTGTGATGCGGTCAGAGAAGTTACCACTGAACTGCTGGGGCTCACAGCTGACCTCCTGTAGGACTGTATCAATTATTTCGATTGAACACTAATTAGTAAATAGTGTCTAGTAGTTTTTTCGGTGTAGAGTGAATTCTGTCAGTCAAGTGACACGAGTTCGAGTTCCAGAAGAGATAGGAATTCCTTCAAGATCGCAGGTACGCCTTGCTGACTGGTGAGTGCCAACTAGCACGAAACCTAGATCCTGGGCTTGTTACCTGTTTTCTCCAAATGTCTAACAACAACAATTCTGAGTGCAGCATGACGTTCAGCCATCCGGTATGGTGGCTACATTGCAAATTTGACTGGTAGAATTCAGTCTGCACTAAGCAAAGGACTAGAGACGTGACAGCAGTTAATTAGTGTCTCATCAAAGTATATATATAAGGTCGTTTTTGGCATGCGATTCGCTCCCGCCAAATGTAAGATGATGTTACAGGACTGGACTACACTGACTCCTAGTTTAGAAATAGGAAGTGAAGTGTTAGAGCACGTTGACAGCTTCACTTATTTGGGAAGTATCATCAGCCAACGCCAACGGGTTTACATCCGACGGAATCTCAGCACGGATACAGAGGGCTAGTTTCGCATATGCCAGTTTACGCCGTCTGTGGAGTAGATGTGATATGCGGCTGACTGTCGACTAAAGGGCGTGTGTACTGCTCAGCAGTCCGCTCCGTCCTCCTTTATGACTGGCTGTGAGACGTGGCCATTGAGAGTAGAAGATATGAAAAGATTAGGTGTCTTTGATCATAGGCGCCTGCGCTCTATCTCCCATGTGAAGTGGTATATTAAGGTGAGGAATATTGAGGTTAGGCGTCGGTCGAGTGCTAGGTAAGGAGGAGGTGAAAACAATCGACGAGGCTGTGAAATTACATCGACTGAGAGAGATGGTTAGGACATGTGTTACGTATGCCTAGTCATCGCCTTTCTCGATGGGCAATGTTAGTTGACATAGGGTCAGCCTGGAAAAGAGCTAGTGATGGTCAAACCAAAACATGGTACCAGTCAATGAAATCCACAACAGTTAGTGTAAGCCATGTAGGAGGGTGTAGACTTCCTAGATGGGATCCTCGGAACGGTGAAATCCAATGGTTGAAAACAATTGGTGATATGGCTCAAAATCGTTCTCAGTGGCTCAGATGCATCCACTCCTTGTGACCTATGGTTTCCAACCAAACCACATTGTTCTTCGTTACTTCTATGTCTTTGCCTCACACCTCTGTTTACTGTCTCTATTATGCATTTCTTCTATATTCTTCTCTTGTTTTGTGTGCTACAAGGAGGGAGTGTGGGGACTTGAACTGCCGTACATCGGTGCAAAGTTCTATGTCAAAAAACAGACAGACAAGTTTGATTTTTGATTTACAGCTTGATTCCACACTGTATTTTTGGTACAAGTATGGAATTTTCAGCGTGGATATCGGTAGCCCAAATTTTGCAGGCCGACCATAGATATCAGGTGTGCGCCGGCGTGGGCTCGAACCCCGGACCATGTGCATGGTCGACGAGAGTCCTAACCACTGTGCCACCGACGCACGTTTATAAATGAGTCCATAGAATGTGTAAATCCTGGCAACAAATTTAAAATCTATGGGATTTTTAGGCAAACAAAACGTTATGTAATATTGCATGACGTTTGACTAGATAGATTTTAACACTGCAAACAGCATACTGATATGAATTAATAAATAAGGTAATTGAATTAATACCTGAAACTGTGTTTTATTCCCATACGTCCCCCGGTGGAACATGGGGCTTCAACCTAGAGGCTTCAAGTTCCTGTAGCAGTGGTGATTATTTTTACAGGATGGGGTTGCTAACCTCATGCCCAACGTTCCCTCTTTACCAGTCTTACTACTGGGTTAGCGAGGTGAAGGAGTGCGTCGGTCGCTGGGGATCGAACCCTGAACCACCTGCGTGGTCGGCAACCATCCTTAATTTTGTCCGGCTACCCACCGGTAACAGTAGTTGGCCCATGCCTTCTACTGTCACCCTTTCACCTGAAAGTGTACAGAATAAAAACAAAAAACAGTCATAGTAGTAAAGCAAAGGCCCAGAGACTGAATGGACAAAAAGAAAAATAAATTTCCATCCCTCTACGATCAGGAGAGAATTAGGGGGGCAGAATACGTTTTTCATACACAAAGGCCTTGCTTGAAGTCATGAAAGGTTAGGGCCCCCTCTGTCTTTAGAAGTTTGAGAAAACGAGTTAGCATGAATTCTATGGATGACCTTAACATCACGGTCAAGGGTCGGTGGAGCAATAGAAGTCGATCAAGTATTTCAGGACACTGCTTCTTACGCTCTCCTTTTAGTCTCGTGTAAAGCTTTGCTTGAATGTGTCCTCTTATCCGTGTGGATGTACCGTGCCGATGTGCCTTGATTTTCACGAGCAGGTATACTGACAGATGCGCATGAAGGCGGTTAATCCCGTACTGTAAAAATTGCATCATGAAAAAAATTCGCCAAAGTTTTCAGTACCTTTCAGTAAACTGGTACTTAATGTGTACTGCTTGAAAATCACACCTAACTACTCCTTGCGGTTACACGACAGATCGAGATAATTTCAGCGTCGGACATAACTTCGCTCGTTTGTTAGCAGCAATGCACTAAAATTGATTCTGCTCATAGTGTGCCCTGAATAATTCCAAAAAAAAGTGGGAGAACTTGTTTCACACTGTGTTGCTGTTGTAGCAATGTATATTAATTTTAAGGAGTGTAATCACACGGATGCTTAGTCTACCATTAAGTCCGAACCTCCTAGAATATTTCCCGAACACAATCCCGTACTGAAATATATTAAAAGAGATTTTTAGTGCAAATCACGACCTCGTCACTTATGACATTCAGTCAGCGAAAATACCGTTTAGTGTCAAAAACCGCAAGAAGATCTTGACACCTCAGATTCACTAAATTGTAGAAAGTTGTTTAGAACGTGGGCAAATACTTATATGAATAAAAATAACTTCTGAAGTAGTTATGGAAACTGACGCAAATACTTTGATATTTTAGTCAAGTTATGCGTTCACGTGATGGCTAGACTTGCACATCGACTATACTACACTTTGTTTGTACTAACTAAATCAATATTTGATAAAGTAATTTAGTGGCCTTCAAAGTGTGAATAAATAGTACTAGTTAACGCAAAATAAATAAAACATAAATTTGAACGGAAATGTCTGGCGATTGTATATTGCTTTCTGTTTCGCCTTGTCTTGCAGTGGTAGAACGACTAGATGTAAAAATATGTAGGACAGAAGAGGAATTTACTATCACCTGGACAGACGATCAGTAGATGTAGGCAGTTAACAATAAATTAGTTTATATAACTGAGGAAAAGCTATTCCGTTGTAAGACAAGGCTGCCTACTATGTCCAATGATTTTCCGGATTTCGGTAGACTGGATAATGCGACAGAAACACAGTGAGCAGAGAGGGAACAGGAATAAAATGAGCCTACACAAAAACTCGGAGTATTTGGACTTCGTCGATGATATATGTCTGACAAACTGGAGGACATGCAAGTGAAAAGCAACACGTTTGCGATAGAAGTAGCATCCAGAAAAGACAGGCCCTCAGGTGAACACAGAGAAAACAGATGTGGTGATGAAGATTCCTAGCCAACAGCAACAACAACAGACAACAATCAACCAGCAAAAATCTGAAATCTGAAAGAAGCAACCTCCCTTACCTACCCACCAACCTGGGAAGCATTGTTTGAACTACGTTCGGACGGAACTGTTGAGGACATCAAAGCAAGGATCGGGGAGGCAAGTCAAGCTTTCATTACTCTTAAGTCTTTGTGGATGTCAACAGTAATCAGCATGAAAAATAAAATCCGGATTTTCAACTTCGATGTGAAGTCAGTGCTACTATACGGATTAGAGACTTGAACTGAGCGACACGAAGTCCATTTCGAACAAACTACATACTTTCATCAACAGCTGTCTTCGCTCAATACTACTCAAGATCAGATGGCCGGCAAGAAAAGATCAGCAACAGGCTGAGATCTTTGGGGGCAGACCAACAAGGAACCGATTATGTTACATACATGCAGGAAGAAATGGAAGAGGATTGTCCATACTCTGAGAAAAGAAACTATCAAGTGACATCACTTGACAGGCCACTGCTCGAGTGGAACCAGAATGGAAAGCGGCGAGTTTGTCGTCAGTGTGAGAGTGACATGGAGGAGATAATGTGGAGAGGAGATGAAAGCATGTGGGCAGATGTGCAGCGAGGTGAGACCGTTGGTAGATAACAGAACGCAGTGAAGACGTGCAACTGAATCCCTGTGTTACCCTAGGAATTAAAGGGAACAATAATAAATAATAATATCCCGTTGTTAGAATTCTTGTTTTATCATATACTTTACTAAATCTAAGTAATAATGTGAAACTAGTTTGATTGATTGGGTCTTCTTGATAATGGGTACCTCAGGGATTCTGTCTTTAAGCAAATTTGGTTGTCTGAGAGCTGACCTAGTTTGTATTCTTCCGTCGACAGATCAGAAGTTTGGTTGTTTGTCAATGTATTAGAAAGGCAACTGTCTTAGTAAAATTTAAGACATCTGGGCATAGCCGAGGCACTAACCATGCAAAAGCTCAAACCCACGCTATGTGTCTAAAAGAAATACATTCAACCCATGTCCCTGCCATGGCCATCATAAACAGGTAATTCTTCCAATAGTTACTATCCCATAGGCTTTCTTATCCAATCTTCCCGTTTATTCAAGCTATTTCTAAGTTTTTCTTAATCCCTATTTACACTACCATATTTTCATATCCCAACTTCTTGTCTATTTTGTTATTTTATTATTTCTACATATTTAATCCCTGATCACATAAACAATTATTCGTCACATTAGTTACGATCCCACTAGATTTTGTTATCCAAACACTCTGTCTATTTTGTTATTTCTACGTTTCTAACACCTAATTGCACTATAGGTCAATCTTCTCAGTAATTATGATGCTACTTTGTTTGAGTTTTAGCCGTCCCCCTGTTTATTATGGCATCTTAATTCCTAACTGTAATTCTATTAATTGTGATTTTATCAGTCTGACCCTTGACCAGAAATTATTCCGGAATATTCCTACCCATTTATTATAAATATACGAATGTAGAGCTTCGTTGATGATTTCGTTGAAAAGAAAATTTTCTTCACTGCAACTATCTTTTTATTCCCTATAGTCAGTTGACAGTTAAAGAGGTAGTACTTTTGTTGCTTTATTTCGACTGATATTTCTTTGTTGTAATTATTCTTTTTCCAAACAGGAACTGATGCATCTGATGGATATAAACGGTGATGGAATGATTAGCTTGGGAGAATACAGACTGGTGTTGGGATTATCAGGTCAATCAGTCGATGCGTAAGTTATGTAACAAAAGTCAACAAACTGTTTTGTGCACACTTTTGTACATTTCACTTTTAATTTCCTACTACTTTGTCCTAACCTTCAGGGGGGGGGAATAAAGCGGTAATGCGTTCGTTTGGATGGTCTACTGCTCAATGTGGTTTATGGGAGTGGTTTGATTAAGGCGTTGATGTTTGTAGGAGGTCACGATTTACACCTGTAGATTTAGTCACAAATTGATTCTTCTTTAGGGTACCTGAAACACAGAGAGGGTTAGTGTTGCGTGACCACAGAGCCCAGGGGACAAATACTTGAGGCCGGTCACACATGGCCTGTATGAACTGGTTTCTTGGTTTGGTTCCGTATTAGTAAACTTGCCCCCAGTTATGGACTACCGTAGGGTAGGTCGGGATGTACAATTTTTGGGGTCGAACTTTCCTAACCTTCTCTCTCCAGATTGGAGAGACAGCGTAGCTGGCATGCTGGTCATTTGAGGAAACACCTCACTGCTGTTACACCCCTGTTCCCCAGCGGTACGACTTCGCCTACAGACTCCCAGCATAGTAAAAGAAAGATTCTTACACAATGCCGGTATCTGCTTTTAGTCAAATCGCTATCCTAACAACCTTCTTGGCATGGTAGGACCTGCAGGAACATTGTTTTCAGTCAGTGTAGCTTGTTGGCTTATCGCGATGTTTAAGCCCGACCATCACGTCAAGGTAGCAGCTATCGGTCGCAAAACATACGTAGTGACATACCACAGTCTAAAGTTTTAACAAATAACTATTCTATTATGTTTATTTTACCAAAACAAATTTAGTGCATTATAGGCACCAAGAGATGCATCACACAAAGTCTCAAAATCTGTTCGAGGCTTGGGATATTGCCCGAACACTTAGACTGATGCAGGTGGTTGCCTGAAGGGGCCGAACCTTTGACTTGAAATCTAATCCACCTGACAGTCGATCGGTGTCAGCAGCTATTTTATCAAGGTTTCCGGTGACTGAGACAGGTTTATGTGTCATTTGATCCCTTCAGGTTCTGGAGCCCATGTACATCATAGGTTTCGAGTCAGGGTTTTCCAGCTCCCCATGTTCACCAGTCCAATTGTAAGGATCAGAAGCTGTGAAGAACATCTCCAGTGCTTGAAGGTGGTGAATAGGACTTACCCAGCAGATGGTATGAATCCATGTCCACATGACAGCATTCTGAGAGGGGGACAGAATTCTATCCACCCTTGGCTGCATCAGGTCGTCCATGGAGGGGGAATAACTATTTTTGATTGTAAAAGAATTGCATCAAAACACAGATGAGCACACTGTCAACTTTATACATAAAAGACAACATTTGGTGCAAATGGGTAAATGAGGACAGATTTAACTGGGAGAAAACGCAGTTAGTTGTTGGAGGTTTGGTGCAACTTTTACCTTATTCTATGTTATCTTATTATTTTTATCGTTTTTCTGGTTTCTGAGTGAAACATGAATGCGTCTTCACTTTATCCCATTCTTCGTTGTACTTCTTAGCTGGTCCTACGATTGTGCATAATATCTGATCTTCCTCTAGCACGACCTCCTTCATGTAAGCCTCACACAATCACTCATTTTTCCTTGTTCGGGTTCCATTCACCCAAGCGATGATCTGGAGTGCGATGTCATCCGACGGTCTCCTCAGAGTATGCTTAGTCCACCTCCATTTTCTTCACGATATTTTCTCAGCAACAGGTTCTTGAATGGCTTGTTCCCATGGTTTCGTTTGTTGCCAATCAATTTTCGCTGGCCACTTGATTTCCAGTACGGAGCAAGCAAAGGGGAAGGCTGTGAGGGGCTGGCCGAGTTTCTGACCCATGCAGAAGAACTGGTGTTGAAAATCCGGCTCTCTTTGCTTATGGTAAGGAGTGCAGAAAATTTCCAAACTGCCTTCAGGTTGATGAAGGTTTGTCTTCATTTTTCGAACCTGCCTGGCTTTGACACCTTCATCAGTTCCGCGTGTGTTAGAATTTCTTACAAATACAACTTTCTGCTACTGTTAACAACCTTAGGGGAATACAGTACCTAAATGACTGATAAAATTCAGTTAGCGTTGACTTTTGGACGCCAGTTATTGTCGAATACTTCTTCTTCTTCCTAGTACTGATATATCATCCTGTTTCAGTCATAAAAGTTTACTGTCTTCGATCAAACTGTCTTGCGGTTTAATTATATTTAAATGTGCTATGAATAGACGTTTTGTAAGGATATTCTACATTTAATACTTATCATTTAATCTCACCAACCGATCTAATTTACTTGAAATAGTGGAAATAGCACAATACAAGTGTTTTTCTGCACAAGTATACTTTTGCGGGGAATATACACCATAGTGAGTGTACTACTGCTGTTTCCATCAACATGACCAGCATATTTTCAGAAGTAATGAGTATTGCTAGTGACATAACGATAATTGATAACATAGGAATTCAAAATAAGTCAGTCAATTCAAATATCCAAAAGTCTTTATCAGTTGCAAAAACAATAGAATTCCAAGGCTAATATTCGGTAATGCTTTACTACCGGACATGACATTGTTATGCAATTTAGGTTAAGATCACCTGAGCCTATAATGACATGCCCGGACATAGTCGAAGCATCTGCACAAGAAGCCAACATGTTAACCTGAGACCGAGCACTTCATTTCGATCAATCGATGGAAAAATCTAAAAAACTTCAATTAAATATTATATAGGATTAGAAAACAGTTGAGCTATATGTAAAATAGTATTTTAGTAAAAACAAGTATGAACGGGATAATTATGGAAACAAACTGAAATAATAGTTCTTCCAAGTAAAGATAAAAAGCACTGAAGGGAATGAAAAAAACAGTAAATCGAAGTTAAAGAGTTCAACCAAAGTAGATCCATAGTAAATGTAGAGGTTGGTCCAGTTTCTTCTCAATACGCAACTCCAGCTTTTCAATGCATATGGTGAGGGCTTCTGCAGTACAAAGAAGTCGAAAACACACAGCCTTTAGTAGATTTCTGCTTACTTTGTGAGTGACTTTGAATGATGAGTCAGCTGACGAGATGTTCAGTCATAGCGCTTATGACTGAACCAGTGTCGCCTCTTTGCAACCAGTCTTAATAGTCTTCAGTAACACGTTTCGAAGCGACACGCATAGAACGGTCTATTTGCTTAGCTCTACAGGAGCAAATGAAATTATAAATACACACTGGAGTGGTCATGTAGTCAACTCTAATCTCTCTTGGTTACTACAGTGAATTCAATAATAACTGTAACCATGTAAACTTTGTCTAAACATATACCCGATGTCTTCTGCATATTATTCTTTCCATCATGATATTTTCAAATAATCTTAGTTAATATTATTTTATAGAATTTTGAGCAATGCTCAACAACATAAACGTTATATTTTTGAAAATGCCTTTTTTTCCACACAAATAAAAAATTATCACTAATATTTATATTTTTGTTTTAGCTGGAAGCGTCTTTTTCGAAAACTGGATAAAGATAGATCTGGATCATTAGACTTCCATGAAATCTGTTCACTGTTCGGTAATACTGATTCAGGCGAAGTAAGAGAATCAGTTACAAGTTATATGCGGAAGTATGATACTGATCGAGATGGTCGAATTAACTTGAGAGAATTTTTAACATTTGCTGCAGAACAAGCCGGAAAAGATTTATAGCTGTCCATCTACACTGTGACGTAATCATTGTGCACAAGCAAAAAAGTGTATGATATGAGCAAAAGCTATTAATATACATAAATTTACTGAGATTTTGTTGTTGTTTTTGCTGTCCAGTGAGAATACATACAACTACTCTGAATGTAAACTTTAGAGGTGTTATATGTTTCTCTTGCAGTAAAATGTTACTTCTTCTCCACACCCTAATCGTATCATATCTTTGGTTTCTATAGATAACAAAATTAACTCGAAATTCCCTCCGTTTGTATATTATTTTCAAAAAAAATGAATCTTATGTTTTAAAACCTGTTATCATGAAGTATTGTCTGCGTTGTAACAAAGTACAGTTTAACTTAAAAAAAGAATCCAGATTAATGCCTATGAATAAATTATTTTGTCAGTACGAAAAGACTTCTGAAATGCGAACGGTGAGACACTTTTAATGCCATTCTAAGGTGACCTGCATGATGACTGATCTCAAGCTTGACAGTCAGATGGCATGTCATAAACGTGAACAAGATATAACATTATATACACGAAACCAAATCAAAGAAATGAGTGTCCACTTTGGGGACTTAACCGTTCAAATCCTCCGTACAATATATTCGTATTCGTTTCAAGCAGGTAACAGGTTTTCCAATGTAAAGTCAGTGTTGAGTAGACTGTTTTGAAAGCTAACGAAAGCCTAGTGGTTAAAGCATTCATCTAACTAGTGGATGGTGACTAGCAGTAGAATCTAGGATGCGCATTTCGTCCTATTTAGGACTCGTCATCTGGATGTACCTGCATTCCACAGTGGGTGGTGATGTTAGCGTCGAGGCTCGAACTCAGTGTCCATAGTTTCAAACATCAAAGTATTATCCACTGGACCAATTGAGCAATGCGTCATATTAATTATTTAATTGAATTTTAGATTTTCCTGTCTATTCACTGGACCAAAGAGCTTGATCTAATCAGTCGATGGGAAAAATCTAAAATTTAATTAAATAAAGCATTCATTGTCTCAAACAAAGAAATATCAAAACATATTGTGTGGTTGCGTCAAAACCAGTGTTTAAGAATAGTACAGAAAAGGATGCAAAGTGTTTACGTAGGGACACAAAAAGTAAAGGTGATAATAAAACAAGGCCATATGTCTCCTTGATTTTGGGCTGCTTGTATTCGTTTAACAGGAAACGATGGATTTAACTGTTGCACTTTCTGAAGCTTAAATCATACTTGCAATTCTGAGAAATTCGATATCTGCATTGAGATTTAAAATCAAGGTAATGAGCGCATGAATTAGTAAATTCGCTTTTAATGCCTCTAGACAATGATTCAGTTTAAAGATGTTTAATTCGTGAAAAGTGAAGTGGTTATCAGGTTATTGAGCATCTGTTAGATATGACGAAACTGAAGGAATGAATTGAACTAGGCGACCCGCTTAGCTCACTGGGCTACAAAAATTGCTTTCCACCATAATGCATAATTTCATCCGGATTTATCATTGGTTTAATCGTCCAGTTCTATCAAATGACCTATATATATATATATATAGACGCTGTGCGATTCTTCAACAAAATGAAGATATATCATATTGGTTTTTTATTAGATCACACAGTGAGTGAAATAGTATTATTTACTGGAGAACAATGTTTTGAACAAAATTTATTCTTCACAATCATATCAATTGTAATCACATGACTTTGAAACTTGAGTTTTATGGTATTCTTTGTTCTCTGCTATTTGTCGTCGTTGGGGTAGTAGAATTTTCCAGATGTCAGCCTAAACAGGCGTTGAATCATTCCCATTATACGTATTCTCTCTCAGTTGATTCAATAAACAAAGCTTCTGTTATCAACCTCTTCCTCCACCGTGTGACATTAGATTTGAAAACTGTCATCTTATCCCATCCATCCTGATGTATAGTTGTGTGTAATTGCATGTAGTGAGGTGTACAGTTGAACTATTCTCTAGATTTCTTATCTTATTTGGGTCAACCAATCTATATTTTGCTAGGTTTTTATGCTCGGCTAGTCTGATTGCCCCTGTTCTACTACTTTGACCTATGTATTTGACATGACAATCATTGCAGGTAGGGTATTAGATAAACTAAATTGTTGTGTTTTAAAGGCTCCACAGGATCGATCATTTAACCGACAAAGCCTGTTTCTAATTGAGTTTGCGAAAGACTTAAACATTTGTTTAAGTGATAGAGCACTAAAATTAAGTAGTACTAAGGAAAATCTAAGACAAAAAGTGACACACATAAAAGAAGCCCTGAAACTTAATAATTACCCGTATAAATTAGTCAGGAAATTTGTAAGGAAATGTGAAAATAAAATAAATGGTGATAGTAGCGATAGTGATAATAACAATAACAATGATAACACTAATAATAATAATAGTGGTAATAATAATATTAATGACGACACCAACATTAAGGAATCCAAATCATCAGTAGTAATTCCATAAAAAGAAAAAACCCCGGAAAGCATCCGCAGAATTCTTAAAAACGGTAAAACGGTAAAGTGGCTGGCATTCAAACCAACCACAAACCCAATTAGAAACAAGCTTTGTCGGTTAAATGATCGATCCTGTGGAGCCTTTAAAACACAACAATTTGGTTTATCTAATACCCTACCTGCAATGATTGTCACGTCAAATACATAGGTCAAACTAGTAGAACAGGGGCAATCAGACAGATAGCAGAGAACAAAGAATACCATAAAACTCAAGTTTCAAAGTCGTGTAATTATGAATGTTATCTTTAAAAAGTGTGCTGACATCTTATATTCACCATTAACTGACATTTTCAACGAATCGTTTTCCAAAAGTATCATACCTGAATCTTGGAAAATATCAAGATCGTTCCAGTGCCTAAATCAACAAGTGGACATTATGTTAGGTTTAGACCCATTGCTATCACCTCACCTTTTTTGAAAGTTATGGAAAGACTTATTTTACTTAATCTTGAACCCCCTTTAAAGCTTTTCAATGACCCCAACCAGTTTGCTTATAAACATAGTAGGAGTCCGTTAGATCCCGCTGTTGTCCTCCACCATAGAATAGTCTCTAGTTTAGATTAAGGAGCTAAACACGTTCGGTGCGCCTTCCTTGATTATACATCTGCATTTGACTCTGTACCTAGGTCTCTCTTGCTAAGTAAGCTAGCTGCACCACAGGCTGACAGCTGGACGAATAAGTGGCTGCATTCCTATTTTTCTGATAGGAACCAGTACACCATCTACAATAGAAAGTCCTACACTACCTCACTTACTTTAGCTGATGTTCCTCAAGGTGCTGTTCTTTCTCCTTTTCTGTTTTCTTTTTTCTTACATGACTTGCCTCATTCTGATGTAGCCACTTTTGTTAAGTATGCTGATGACCTCTCGGCTTCTATGCCTGTCAACTCTCAGTCAGGTTGTTCCAAATTAAATAACTTTCTGTCGGAAATTAGTCAGTGGTCCTCTTCAAACGGTCTTAAGCTTAATCCGTCTAAATGTCAGGTAGTCAATGTCACTTTCAGACGTAAACGTGACCTACAAAAACCAGTTAGCTCACATGGCCCCACTATCATTGAGAGCACAGAGGTTGAAAATACATTTAACGTCAAGTACCTTGGGCTGAGTTTTTCCACCGATCTTTCCTGGTCCTCCCACATCTTGCTAGTTTCTAGAAAGATGTTTCGCTTGACGTTCTACTTTGGGAAGTTAGGGCAGTCTGGCATAAACCAGTCTTTGCTTTCTCAGTTTGTAAATTCTTGTATTCTACCCATCCTCCTTTACTGCTCCCCATTAGTCTTTCCTGGACTACTTAAGAAAGACTTTGCTTCGCTGAGAAGGGCACTAAAAGCCGTCAGTAGGGCAAGTGAGATATTGTTAAACCGACTGGTTAACACTACTGTTGATAGACATATTATATCATGTAAGAAACTAGCGAATACAATATTGTCAAACCCCGAGCATCCTCTCTAAACTCAGCTCTTTCCTTGCATTTCATCTGGTAGAACTAGAAGCAACTATGGGAGGCTATATGCTAGGACTACCAAGTACAAAAACTCCACAATACCATATCTGGCACAGCTGTTATGTGATGAGAAATCCGTTAGGTATGACACGATAAACTTACTGCAGCACTCTAATAAATAGTCCCATTAGTTTTTGTTTTCCTTTCCTCGTTACTATTACACTGTTATTCTCATCATCTATTACACACTAATTTTATATTTCATATCCTGTAGTGTATCGTTTAAAATGTAAACGCAGCGCTGTTTTTTTTATTTATCTTCTTTTTTTGGGTGTTGCTTTTTGATTTTAAAATCTTATAAAATTTATGAGGTAATTAGATGCAATGTACTGTAATGCACGCTGAAAATTCCATAACTGTACCACATATACTGTTTGGAATGAAGCTGTTATTATTATTATTACAATTGATATGATTATGAACAATAAATTTTGTTCGAAACATTGTCATCCAGTAAATAATACTGTTTCACTCACTGTGTGATACATCTAATAAACAAACCAATATGGAATTACTTACTACCACAGTGCCCAAGTTTTACACATATATTAAAATGAAGATATACTTCAGATTATTGATATCCATGTAAATCCTGTATGAAGAAAAAAGTATTTTGGGAATAAATACGCCGAAAAGGTTTGCAACATATGTTCGCATACTGTCTGAAATAAGGCTTTATTATTATTAAAAAAAGTGACCAAGAATAAGGGGACAGGTAAACAGGAGACTAAACAGATATGACAGTTCCAATAAATATCGTCACAGAGTTCACGAATGAGCTAATCATTAGTCAATGTTTTGTTTGCATGGAGCTCATAAATCCTAGATATTTTTATGCACTCAGTTTGATAGTTGCCGTACATGTCCGATGAATTGGTAACTTAACGACAGATATGAAACTAACACGTTTGATGTGATATAATCACTTAACCAATGAGTGCTCACGAATGTTCGATGTAATCTATCATTTTCACAAAGATCATTAGAGTATA